GGTGAACGTAGGAAGGCTATGGAAGTAGAAGTTAATGCAGACTCTCGACTGTGTTTATTATACGTTACAGAATGAACAGCCTATCAAACTGTTACAGACTCCATTTGACTCCAATTATCAGTCCATCAAGACCGGTGACACTGCTGCCTCTATAATAAGCTTCGAGTCGCAGTCATTAAAATCCAGAATGGAAAACATAATGAGTCAATTTAAACTTTTAGCACTCGTCGTACAAAACTCTGTATTATTCACAAAATATTTCACTTGTGCCGTTTTTTCTCCCCGAACGTGCGCAGATCAGAATGAAATTACACTCGATTAACAAAAAAAATTTTCAAAATGTTTTTTTTAATCATTCTGTGCCTTTCACAAAGAGCGTTATCTGCAAAAATAATTAACTCTGTTCACTTAGAAGAGGTCAGAGTTTAACTAGTTTAACTATTTTTTTAATGGTTTCCATTATAAATGCTACAATTTTCCATTTCAGTGGTCGCGATGCATTTGAGGGGCTTTGTTCACCGTATGAGCAAAGTTTGGAGAAGATAAGCACACAGTGTGATGATTCTCTGTAATGAGCTTCAGTTCAGTGTCACTAATTGTTTTCTAAAAATGAAACTTCTTTTAACTGAATTGTGAATTATTTTAACAAAACATGAAGCTGGCTAATTATTGTCTTTACTGAATATTGTTTATCACTGAACCCTGTAAAGTTAAAGCCTGAAAGCCTCAAAGGAGCTGAGAGACTTACATTCACAGCCTGATCCGGCTATCAGCAGCCTCCCCGCCGGCAGTGATTGTTTGACCATCCTCACCACCTCCACCCGCTCCTCCACCGTCAGATAAGGATACTCACCATTGGAGCCCTGAACCACCAGACCTGTAACAATAAAACACATGATTTTTTATACTTGAGGTGTTTTTTGGGGTTAGCTCTGTAAAGAAGCTTATATGATCTCAAAATGTATCAGCCATTTCTAGATGACCCACAGCGCCCTAAAAACAACTAAAAATGTCAGACTTTTAACTGTTTTTGTCAGATTTTACACCCTTCTCATTTACAAAGACATTTGAAATCTTGCATACTTCAAAAAAGTAAAAAAATTAAAAATAAACTGTTGTTAAACTTCCTTTAAATAACAGAAAAGTTCCTCTTTTCTCCTAAGTTCACTAATCCACACAGAACTGTGTCTATAAAACAGTTTCAGAATTATGTTCCCCGATGTAAAACTGGGACAGTTTTGAGTACCTCGTCATCTCCAAACATATTATTATAAAAACACTTCGGGAATGTTGAGAAATGTCTGGGACAACACTGAAAATGAA